GTGCTTAAGTTGCATGGAATGCCTTATACAATAGTTAGTAACAGGGACACTGTTTTCTTAAGTGCATTATGGAAAGATTTCTTTAAATTGCAAGGTTCTAAGCTTTGCATGAGCTCTAGTTACCATCCTCAGAGTGATGGGCAAACTGAGGTGGTTAATAGGTGTCTTGAAACCTATCTAAGGTGCTTCACTAGCTGTCAACCTAGGAAGTGGCTGCAATGGCTTCCATGGGCTAAGTGGAGTTACAATACATCATTTCACACTTCATCAAGGTTTACTCCCTTTGAAGTTGTTTATGGATACCCCCTCCACATATTGTCTCATATGAATTGGGATCTGCAAAGATGGATGTGGTGGAGCAAGGACTCATGGCCAAAGATAAATTGTTGGCAATGTTGAAAACCAATATGTTAATATCACAAAATAGACTGAAGGTGCAAGCTGACAAACATAAGAGTGAAAAAGTGTTTGAATTGGGAGATTTTGTTTATCTGAAGTTGATTCCTTATCAACTGCAGTCCCTAACTTCTCATACTTATCATAAACTCCATCCAAAGTTACATGGACCATTTGAAGTTGTGGAAAAAATTGGTGCACTGGCTATTATATTGAAGCTACTTGAAACCACAAAGGTACACCCAGTTTTTCTTGTGAGTTGTCTTGAGAAACACTTGGGCCCTAATGTGAACCTGTGCCAATATTACGAGTTGTTTTAGATGATGGATTGATGGCTCAAGAACCCTTGGCAGTGCTGCAAAGAAGAACGTATAAGAAGAAAAGCTCAGCTAGAGTTCAGTTGCCAATATAGTGGAAGAATGGCAGTGTTGAAGATGCTACCTGGGAAGACTATGACGAGTTTCTAGCTAAATTCCCGGATTTTAGTCTCTAAGGCCATCTCCAATTGAGAGAGCTAAAGGGCTATAGGGCCAAAATATGGCTTGATTTGGACAAAATCCATCTCCAAATGAAAGGCTGGGCCAAAAATTAGTGGAGCCCACTAGGCCAAAACATGGCCAAAGGGCTATTAGGCTGACCAAAGTTGACCTGGTACCTAACCCGTTTTCTGGGCCCCAACCGTTGTAGTTGCATTGAGTTGGACAGATCCAACGGCCAAGGTTGATACTAATTGGTACTATAATTTACATTTATGTATATTTATTTGTTTAAGAGCAAGGGTACTAATTAGTTCTATCATTAACCCCTTTTTTAGCTCCGAATAATTATTGGTACTTTAATTAAATTAATTAATAAATTTAAAGAAAACATTTGAAACTAATAAATTATTAAAGGGCTATGTTTCGCCAACTTGGTTGGAGATGGAATATGAACGGGTCGTGTAGTTTGACCATGAGTCTAATCCAATCAATGAAACTTAAACAACATGAAACTTAAAACAAAATTCAACAAGTGGCACTCAAAATATATCCGGAAACCTTATTTTAATATGGTAGTTTAATTCAATTAACTAATAAAATTAAAGAACAAACTTAAAATAATAAATTATTGAGGGGGATAAAAAATAGCCCCCTTCGGTTGGAGACGGTTGATAAATATGGTCTGGCATTGTTCATTAAAAAATAATTTTTTTGATAAATATGGTCTGATATTGTTCATTAAAAAATAATTTCTTGCAAGGCTATAATTTGGACGGAAGTTAATCATAACCCCTTCTAAGACTAGTTTGGTATGTGATACTGAACTGAAATTTCAATATTCCCGAATTTTGGGAATCCCAAAATATTTTCGTTATTTCTGGACAAATTGAGAATCCCGAAAATTTTGGAGCCATACATGATTAAATTTCTCAATTTGTGCTAAAGAGAGGACAACACAAACTTTAAAATCATACTCATAATATACAACTTAATTGTGCCTTCTCCGTGGAATGGACGTAAACAAAAATGGAAAAAACACAACACATATGAGAGGAGCAGCACTTGTAAATAAATCCAAATGGGTTATTATACAAAATGGTCCCTGAGATTTGCATGATCAATAGAAATGGTCCCTAAGATTGAAAATCAATAGAAATGGTTACTGAGATTGTCTACCATCCATGATTTTGGTCATTCCGTTAAAAACGATTTTGGGCAATTTTCAAAGCTTTGTAACTCAATTGTTTCTTAACCAAATTCGACCAATAATATATCAAAATGAAGATGAGAAAGTGTAGAATATGATTATACCTATTTGGAAGCCCAGTGGTTGTCGGAGATGGCCGGAAAATAACCTGAAAAGTGACTAGTCCGCGGGAAAACTCTCCGGAAACTGGGTAAACTTTAAACATTCATAACTTCTTCAATACTCAACCAAATTGAGTGATTCAAGAAAGAAAATAATACTTCTTTATGAGACGAAGAGAATGGTACCCTTTTCGAAGGCTAACTCACCATGGTTTGGTCGGACAACGGCTCAAAAATGGCTAACCATTTTCGAGTTAGCCACTTTCGAGCAGTTTTCTGGCCAAACCACAGCCAGTTAGCAGTAAAGAAAGATAATATTCTCTTCATCTCGTCAAGAAGTATTATTTTCGTTTTTGAATCGCTCGATTTCGTTCAGTATTGAAGAAGTTATGAACGTTTAAAGTTTACCCAGTTTCAGGCGAGTTTTCCAGTTTTCCTGCGGACCAGTCACTTTTCAGGCTATTTTCCGGCCATCTCCGGCAATAATTGGGCTTCCAAATAGGTATAATCTTATTCTACACTTTTTTTATCTTCATTTTGATATATTATGGGTCAAATTTGGTTAAGAATTGATTGAGTTATGAAGTTTTGAAAATTGCCCAAAGAGTTTTTAACGGAATAACCAAAATCATGGATGGTGGACAATCTCAGGGACCATTTCTATTGATTTTCAATCTTAAGGACCATTTCTATTGATCATGCAAATCTCAAGGACCATTTTGTATAATAACCCAATCCAAATACCAAAGAGAGAACTAACAAGATGATTATCTTTTTTTTTCCCAAAAGAAAACTAGCAAGCGCTTGAAACCAGTAACAGAAGATTGTTGTGAAAAGAATATTCTGGCAAGTACTGTTCTCATGATGCATCAGTAACAAGTGAAAGATATCTATCAGAAACAACGAATCACAACACGAACAAAATTGAACTCTGCAAACAAAATTAATTTCAAACCCGAAATTAAATTTCAAAAGGAAGACAGAAATTAGATTTCAAAACTCTAAATTAATTACCTAATTTGGGGTGAGAGTGAGACTCGGTGCTAGATTGAGAGTTCTAAGTGCCTGAGAGAGAAAATCAAGCGAGAGAGAATCCCAGAGATCGCGAGAGAGAAAGTGATGGTTGTGTGGTGTAGGAAGGCTGGAGAGTCAGATTCAAACAACGAACGGTTGAAATAATTCTCTTATAACTAAAAAATAATATATATATATATATATTATATTATTTTGGTTCGGTATAGGATTACCGAAACATTGAAGAGACAATACCGAATCCCGTATCGAAATTTCAGGATTGGTACGGTATGTCATTCCAAAATTGAGAGAATTTTGGTTTGGGATCTAGATTTTTTCGGTTTAGTTCGAGATTTTCAAGAATTTTTTCCAGCTCTAGCCCTTCGGTTGAAGATGGCCTAATGGTAACCTTGTGGACAAGGTTTTTCTGTTGAGGGAGGGTAGTGTTATGACTAAGATACTTTTAAGCAAGATTAAGTAATTAATTAGTATTTTAATAATTTGTTGAGTTTGTTATTGTTAGTGGTAAGCTGGTAGTAAGGCCGGGCATGGGCCGGGCCGAGTCCATTTTTGAAGGAACCGAACCTACCTGTTTTAAAAAGTAACGGGACGGGTCGGTCCGGGTAGAAGGATTTTGAGTTTTGGAACCGGGCTTTACCCGGCCCGTTATTCACTAGACCCACCCTACCCTGCCCCACGGGTCCAACTTTAAAAAAAAAAAAAAAAAATTTAACTAATTTATAAACTGAGAATAGGCACAATCCGACTTCAACCACCACGTTGATTCCAAGCATAGAGACCCACAATCTGACCACGACAGGCATCCACTGCTTCGCAGAAGTGGATGCAATTGAGTCTACTAATCGAAGGACAACAATGGTGGAAGCTTTGTCGTCGCAGATGCAGCCGAGGCTCCGTCGTTGCAGCTGCCAAGATCTGAGCCTCTTTTTGCAATCCACGCTCAGACCCATCAAAATGAGTAATCCCTTTTCTCTGGATCCCAAAACCCGCTCGGGTTTGATAGGTCATTCGCCTCGTACGACCCAAACAAGGCCTCCCCTTGCCTGATGGTGCTCGCTTGGAGGTGAGAAAGGGAGGAGGTACGGTCTACAGGAGGTGTTGGTGCTCGCCGAAGTGTGTGCTACTGTGGTGAAGGTCGTGGTGGGGTGTGGGTGTGGTGTGGTGTGTCTGTGCTCCAGGAATGAGAGTTGCAGAGATGGGGGGAGAAGAAACGAGGAGAGGAATGAGGGAGAAGGTTCAAGAGATTGGGGGAAGGGGAAATATGAGGAAGTGGTGTGTGTGTGTGTGTGTGTGTTCTCAGAGAGGAAAGAGCATCGAGATGAGAGAGAGAGAAACAATGAGAAAATGTTCTCGAGATTGAGAATTGTTACGGCCCACGGGGAGGAAAAAAGGAAGTGGCCTAGCAGACATTAATGTTTTTAAACTGGGATGTTACAAACGGGTCGGTCCGGGTACCCTTTTTTTTTATACTTTTGGACCCGACCCACACTTAACATTCCAAAGCCCCAACCCTGCTCGGCCCGTTTCTCTTTTTAAAAATTAGGAACTGGCCCGTACCCACCCCGAACCTTGATTACCCGCCCCGACCCGTGGTTCCTATACCGGTTTGCCCACCCCTAGCTGGCAGTGGCACTGAGTTGGTGGGAGAGTTTGGATAAAGACCAACTGTGGAAATGTGTTAAGCCCTTGCATGATGGTGTGGATTCAAACTCCTTTGGTAGCTAATCTAACATCTAATATGGCAAAATTTATCGTTTGACAACAAAAAAAAAATGGCGTGAATAGCTTGGCAACGGTCATTTCATTGAAGAATTAATATTACAAAAACAATTCCCAGAGCTATTGCTCTCTATCGTCTTCCTCCTTCCATATAATATTCCATTGTTGAAGCTATTTGCAGGTTTGAGCAAGGACCTGAGATTGAGCCTAACAACCGGGCAGCCCCGTCATGAGAGTTCCAACTAATTCAAAACAAAATCCAGTACAAGAAAAATGTTAAGCTTTAATCACCCAAAAATTCCTGAAATATTTCCTACAGTTGTGGAGCAAAATAGGAAACAGAGCAGCAACAGTGTTTTGGGTGCGAAAATGGTGAAAAGATGCTAGTCGAATGGGTAGTGCTACCCACACACCCATATTTACTTCTCACACACCTATCAATTTATAACTGTTGGATCAAATGACCTGAAGAAAATCAATGGCAAAAAATTAACAAGGTCGTTTAAAAGGTAAAAATGAGTGTGTGAATAGCATCGTACTAGTTGAATATGCAGGGAAGCGGTGTATAAACCTAATCTAATATCTACAATGTATTACAATTTCTTTCCTGCTGCATTAAAATAGAAATGTGAAGAATAAAGCCAAGTTAAAAACCTAATATCTACTTATGTTCTTTGTTGTCCCGGAAGATTTTTCATTATATGAAGAAAATGGACGGATGCTCCACCCCATTCTGCGGAAAAAAGGTATACAACAATGCAGCACCGCAGTAATGCGGGCAGCCTAGCTAGTATTTACTACGGTTGTGGAGCAAAATAGGAAACTGAGCAGCAACAGTGTTTTGGGTGCAGAAATGCTCAATTTATAACTGTCGGATCAAATGACTTGAAGAAAATCAATGGCAAAAAATTAACAAGGGTGTTTAAAAGGTGAAAATGAGTATGTGAATAGCATCATACTAGTTGAACATGCAGGGAGGCGGTGTATAAACCTAATCTAATATGTACATGGGGTAATATGGTCACAGACATTTCTCATCTGTTTACTATTCATCATCCTCTCCTCTTCGAAAAATAAATTTCAAGATAACAGACGACAATTAAGATGAGAAAGACACAACTTTTGTAAGTGAATGGAACCAGCCTTGGCTAGTAGTCAAATGCGAGCATGAACAACATTGATTGCAACCTTATATGTCACCCATCATTTATATCAGCATCCATGTTTGCAGGATTGTCAAGAGCTGGTAGCATGCATTAGTTGTAAGAATTCAGTTGTTAATGACTTGTGACAGCTGGGAAATTGAGAGAGATTAAGATAAGCTTCTAAAGCAAGGCTGGGTAAGCAGGGCCTTAGCTGTAATTGCTCACATCTCTTTGTATTTAGGACGTCAAATAGGACTATCAATAAAACCTGCAATATAAGAATACGAACCTCTAAAGACCAAGTCTACTGATTCTTCTTTAGCTTCAATGTGGAAGAAGATGATCTAAGATCTTGACTAGAAGTTCTAATTATGAAAACAAATGTTTCCACGAGCATGCCAATGACCAATCCAAGAATGCCACCAGCAGCATTCTGAGATGAGAAATATAAGATCGCCATCAACTTATATAATACAAGAAATAAATAAACAATAATCACATATTACAATGCCCCAAAATCAAAATAATTTAACAAAATAGAAACTACTCTCTTGAAGATACATACCATGACGGGACTGTGGTTAAACAAAGCTCTGAATGCAGCATATCCTACCAAATATCCGGTAAACATGGTCACCACAACATGTAAACCTGTGGAAGTCTGACTGTTATAGCACTGGAGCATCCAAAACATATTTTCAAAGAGAATAAAAATTCTGCAGAAAATTTACACAGCGAACACAACGAAAAAGAAGAAATTAAAGGATTATCAATCATTCGTGAACAAAGGGATAATGAAATATATTTTGTTTTTCTGAACATAACAACAGATGCTTTAAATTACTGAAAAATAAACCACTCAACTCTATTCCAAAATAAGAATGAATTTTAAACAGAGATTCAAATAAGAAATATGCGGTCAAACTATTTCAATAAATTCTCAACACAAATGCTTCCCATGAAGCAAATCTTCTAGGCAAGTACTTTGCACACCCCTACTAATACTCTTGTACAGATCACACAATACATACTAGGATTCTTTGAAATTTCATATAAGCGTGAAACACCTCAAGAGCTAAGTTTTGAGCGGTTGGAAAATGTATTCATTCAAATGGAAAGTATTCACGGAAACAGAATCTGGTTTCTTTCTTGCTTAACATTTCAAGCTTTACCCTTAACATAGTTCTTTCACGCTTATGTAGGCATCTACACTAGTTATAAAGACGGAAAACTTGAACAGGTACTAAATGGAAAAGATAAAGATGCTTACAAAATCATAAGTTTCTTCTATACGCATTCCATATCGAGGGCATGATAAAAATCACAAGGTAAAACACTACTATTTGGTTGACCTGCTCATAGAAATGGAATCGAGCGACATTTACATGCAATGGAAACCAAAGAAGACACCTGAGATGTGACATCTCAGAGTTTATCCATTAAAACTTTAAGAATGGATTCAGTTTCCATTTGAATTACCATGCACAAGAGAACCATGAAAATGAAAATATGCCAAATAGAGCTATCTTTTAAAGGCTGTTAAAGTTGTTCACATGTGTTCTTTTATCTCCCTCCAATGATCCAATCCCTTGTCATTTCTCTAAATTACCAATTTTTCCACTACCCAAAGAGAAATATGACAAGGTTTACCTTAGCATCCCAGTAGCGAAATTAAGGTCAATTATAAGTTATAACTACATCATATCAAATAGTAAGAAACTACAAGGGATGGTTACATGCCACATAGAAAACTCAACTCCAATACATTATGCAAACTATCATCAAAGACCCAGGAATTACAAAACACAACTGTCCAAATGAAATTAAAAAACACCCAATAAGCAAGAACACGGGAATTACCTCGGCAAGGTGTTATGGAACCGAGCTCAATATTCAACCGAAAAGAAAATTAGAAAATGGTTTCGATCTGAAAACAACATTCAATTAACCAGAATTCGGGAAAAAAGGAGAAAAAAAAGAAAAAGAAAAAGGAACACGCCAAAATTGAAGACTGATAAGAATTAGGTTGTTAATAGTTCAACATTTTAGTGAGTAATGCAAAAGTTAACAATCACATAAATTATGACAGAAAGTTTGATACACTGGCACTCCGATGTTGTAGAACAACTTAAAAAGACAAACTGTATGGTGACACCATTGATGACCTTTTCAGGACAATAGGGGAAACAAAATTTCCCAATCATAAAGAAAGTCACAAGTAATTCCATTCACAAGATTTCCCCGTCAAACTTCTGTTATATCTCTACATGATCATTAGAAGCTCTAAGCAAAGCCTAAGTATGACACTGATCTCCGGAGATTCAGAACAAATTCTCTCCCCAAAGACATTTTCGCCTAATTTCCAGGCTCAAATCATTCAGCCATGCAAATAAAGGAACATAATCTGATGGATCACAAAAACAGGAGAAAGAATCAATAAAGGAACATAATTTCCTGGTACAGTAATTTTCATGCCAAAATGTTCGATTTTGGTTTTATATGTGAATCTGAATGATGAAGGTGCAGAAGAATTTTGGACTGATATGACAGCAAGAGCAAAATGAAGAGAGAGGTCTGCAAATCTCAAAGAATGTTACTCTGACCATTGAATCATCACATTCATCACACTGAGCTTGTGAGCTCAGAAAGGACAAAATATAACTGTTAGAGGGAGAGAGTTTTGCAATTCAACTCAATCTCAACCAGTCATCTTACAACTTAAGAGATTAAGACACATGACAGTTACTAAGACCTATAAGACTTAATAAGCAAAATACAATTCAAATGATTAGCCTGCCAATATAAGCACAGACTAATTTCACTTATAAATCAGTACATCAATTTATAATCCAACACTCCCCTTTAAATTGTGGACTGATTTTACTCCAAGAAGCTCTCTGAGATGATTGAACTGACCCTTTGCTAAAGCTTTTGTGAATATATCTGCAACCTGCTCCTTGGTTGGGAAATATACCAAATCAATCACTCCTTTCTGCAAAGCTTCCTTAAGAAATGATACCTCCTATTCATGTGCTTGGTTTTCTGATGGAATATGGGATTCTTAGAGATGGAAATTGCTTAAGTGTTGTCACAATTGAGTTGCCTCAGTTGAACTTCTCCAAAATCCTCTAAAACAAACCTTAGCCAAGTAGCTTAAGTTGTAGCTTCTGCAGCATTTATGTTCTCTGCTTCTGCAGTTGACAGTACTATGCAATGTTGCTTGACAGTGGCCCATGAAAACATTCCACTTCCAAAGGTGAAAGCATAACCGGATGTGCCTCCTCATAACATCTTCAGAGCCACTCCAATCACTGTCACAGAATCCAATTAGTATGGCTCCTTTTCCTTTCTTCTACTCCAAGCCAAAATCCAAAGTCCCTTGAATACATCTTAGAACTCTCTTTGCAGTTCCAAAATGTTCGTTTGAGGGACAATGTAAGAACCTAGCTAGCAAACAGGCAACATACATTATGTCTGGCCTTGTTGCATTAAGGTATAACAGGCTACCAACAACCTTTCTATATTGAGCTTCATCAGCAGCACCACTATCGTCTTCTTTCCTTAATTTGTCACTAGGAACTGATGGTGTGCTCATAGGTTTACAATCTTAAGACCAAACCTTTTGAACAGTGAAGAAGCATATTTCCTTTGATGAATGAAAATGCTTGCCTCAGTTTGTATTACTCCCGTGCCCAGAAAATGGTGTAGAAGCCCAAGATTAGTCATCTCCTTTATTAAGTCCTGACTGCTTCCAGGATAAATGATATCATCAACATAGATAGACACTATGAGAATTTCTACACCATCTGTACTTTTCGTATACAAGGTTGCTTCACTAGTGCTCTTCTTGAACCCACACTGACCAAAATAGGAATCAATCTCTCTATACCAGGCGCTTGGTGCCTGTTTCAAACCTTATAGAGCCTTGTACAATTTGTAAATCCTGTTCTCTTCTCCTTTCACAAGGAACCCTTCTAGCTGATCAACATAAACTTTTTCCTGCAGTACACCACTCAAGAAAGTTGACTTAACATCCAGCTAAAACAACTTCCAATTCTTCTGTGCAGCTAGAGCAACGAGGGTCCTGATTGTGTCCAATCTGGCTACTGGAGCAAAAGTTTCATAAGTCAATTCCTGGCTCTTATGCATATCCCTTTGCCACCAGCCTTGCCTTGTTCTTTTGCACTGAACCATACAGGTTGAATTTGGTTTTCTACACCCATTTAACTTGAACAATAGGTTTATCCATTCGTCTGTTCACCCATTCCCAAGTATTGTTCTTCTCAATCATGTCCATTTCTTCCTCCATTGCTTTTCTCAATGAATCATATTGTCCAACATCTTCAAAATTTTCATGCTCAACAATGCAGAGACTGCAATGTTCATAAATCTCATTTAAGTTTCTCCATCTCAAGGGGGTTGAATCATAAGTCTGTGAATCTAGCAGACCAGTCTGTGAACTAGTAACTCGACTTTGTGAACTAGAAGATTCACTGAGTGTTGATGATGACAAAGGAGTTGTGGCAAAAGGTTGACTTTGCTGCACAGGCATAGCAGTTCCTTCAGTCTCACTCAATTCCATAAAATCAGTAGAAATGAGCGGAACACATATCTCCTTGACTTTAAGTTTCTCCCAGTCCCATTTTCCATTCTCATAAAAAATCACATCTCTAGAGATAGTCACTTTCTGTGTTGCAGGATTAAACACTGTGTAGCCTTTTTCACGAGCACCATAGCCAATAAAGATGTCTTTAGCACTTGTCTCATCCAATTTGTGTCTCAAATTGTTTAGTATGTATGTATAACACACTGAACAAAACACTTCGAGACATTTAATCCCTGGTTTTCTCCCACTGAACATCTCAAATGGTGTCACATTCTCTAGAGCTTTTGTAGGCCATCAATTCAGCATATACACAACAGTGCTAACTGCTTCACCCCAGAGGTTGTATGAAAGATGCTTCTCATGCAACATTTAGCCATCTCAATTATTGTTCTGTTCTTTCTATACAACTCCATTTTGTTGTGGAGTGTCAGCAACAGTGAGTTGCCTTTCCAAGCCTAGAGACTCACACAATCCAAGGAATTCATTTGAAGTGAACTCCCCACCTCTATCTGTCCTCAGCCTTTTCAGAAAGTAACCACTTTGTAATTCCACCATGGCCTTGAATTTCTTGAAGATAAAACACATCTGACTTGTTCCTCAAGTAGATCCAGCACATTCTTGAACAGTCATCAATGAATGTGAGGAAATACCTATTCCCACTCATTGTTGGAACTTGCATAAGGTCACACACATCTGAGTGCACTAACTCAAGTGGCTCCTTTGCTCTCCAGGATGACTCCTTCAGAAATGAGTCCTTAATGTTCCTATAGCACAACCATGGCATAATCATCTGTCTCCTGAATTTCAGGTAAGCCTAGCACCATTTCTAGTTCTTACAATTGCTTCAAACTCCAGTAATTCATGTACCTGAATCTTCTATGCCAAATTGTAGCACTCTGATGAACATTGGTTCTCAATGGAAGTTGATGACCAGTCTTGAAGACCAGTGGAAACACGTATTCCACTTTGCTTTACACTCACAACCAAGTTTGTCAATGACTAATCATCAAACACATCCACCTGTAGTCTCCAAATAACAGAAAATAGCCACGTTCTGTCATCTGTCCAACACTAAACAAATTCTCTGCAAGTCCAGGTACCAACATCACTTCTTTTATGTACCTCTTGCCCTTCATTGTGTCAATGACCAGTGTTCCTTTTCCCTTCGCCTCAACCAAGACTCCTGTACCTACTTGTACTTATTCCTGTTTATGTCAACATTCACAAGCAGGTCTTCCCTTGAGGTCATATGATTGCTGCATCCACTTCTATGTACCACACACATCACTGTTTTTCTTCACATTATTTGAGTGACTGGCATAGAACAAATTTCCAGTAGCGCAACTCTGTTGAGGTTCAGTTCTTAGCTAAATGAACAAATTTACTGCACTTGTGACATTTGGGTTTACCCATGAACCAACACTCCATAGTGCAGTTTATCACAATGTTTACATGCCCCCTTTTCTGCAGTGCCAATTCATTCATTCTTCACAAAAACAATGGGTTTGTTATTCCACCGCTTCCCTTTGGCTTCAAAATTCTCTGATATTTAGCATTGTTAGCAATGTTAGATTGACCACTAAAACTATTGTTCTTAGAAGAAATGTTCAAACTAGCAAATGTCCTTTCTGTACTGCTTTCTCCATGTCTATTCAGCCTTTGCTCGTATCCTTTCAGAATAGCAACCACATCTTGAACATCAATGGTTTCCAAATCCCTAGTATTTTCAATCACCAATGCAATACTATCATAGGACTTAGGTAGGCTAATTAACAATTTCTACATTATTATCTGATTACTCAAATCTTCACCGTAACTCTCCATTTGATTAATCAGATCAAATAATCGAACTATATACAGACAGGGATTCATCCTCATTCATATGGGGTATATTCAAAATCACAGCGAAGGTCTTGTAACTTCACTGACCTCACTTGTTTGTCTCCGACGAACTCTTGCTTCAGGATATCCCAGGCTGCCTTTGCAGTCTCCTGAGCTGCAATCTGTGGAAAAATCTGATCGGAAACAGCTCCTTGGATAATACCAAGTGCTCTTGCATCCTTGACAAGATTCTCTTGCAGTAGCTTGCTCTCCATTGCCGAGAGCTCCTTCTCCTTCTTCACCAGAGTATTGAAGCCCTTCTCGACTAGATTCCATGTGGGATGGAAGATGATCTTCATTTTGATTTGCCAGAAATCAAAATTGTTGCCGTTGAAATCGATGCTCTTAGCTCTCCTCCACCAGACCTAGCCATGTTAGACTCAGATCTTTACACAATTAAAGTTTCACTGCAATGAGATATTGTTGTGACTCAATTCACAAAACTTCACAAAATCGATGCCCAGGCTCTGATACCATGTTAGATTTTTGGTTTTATATGTGAATCAGAATCTGAATGATGAAGGTGCAGAATAAAACATAAGTTGCTAACACTTAAATTATTTGTTAAACTCCTAAAAGTTGCATGCAAAATCACTTGAGAAAAATCTCAAATCGTACAAAAGGCAAGTAATGACAATGACCATGTAGCCACTTATGAACGGCCACTTTGCAATAGGTGAGAAAGGAGGCAAGGTGAGGGGAAAGGGTTGCTGGAGGGAGATCCTAGAGACTGGAGGGGGCACATTGAGAGGGGTAAGTGAGTAAGTGACAATGTTTATGACTCGAATAAGATATCACAGCAGACATGAACTTGGATTTACTTTCTCTAAGCAATGTTGAAGAAGTTTGTAAAACAAAAAATTACTTGCGAACTTGCTTTACGGGGCTTGTTTTGTATCAGCTCCATAACTCTTGCAGCCCTCAAAGAAACTACGCCATATAACGACATTTGGTGGGAAGGGCATGTTGAAAATCACCTTCTCTGCTTCCCTAACATGTCCACTTTTAGCCAGTAAGTCCACCACACAATGGTAATGATCCATTTCTGGTTCAACCCCATAATCCTTTTTCATCTGCCCCAATAACTTGATCCCATCTGTCACCAACCCACCATGCCTACAAGCCGTAAGCATAGCGCCAAAAGTCACTACGTCCGGCTTCAAGCCGAAGAGAATCATTTCTCTAAATCTTTTTATTGCCTCAAGAGCATGACCGTTAAATCCAAGTGCAGAAATCAGAGCTGTCCATGTGAATAGATTTTTGTCTTCCATTTCTTCAAAGATCTTCACTGAGCTGCCGATGCTACCACATTTCCCATACATGTCAATTAACATGTTGCATACAAATGTGTCACAACAATTGAAATTAGTCTTAACGATGTAACAGTGAAGAGAACTGCCCAAAGAAAAGTTGCACAGTTTAGCACAGATGCTTAGAAGGCTAACAAACGTATAATTGTCTGGTAGGACTTGATACCACTGCATCCATTTGTAAAGCTCAAATGCCCCCTTGTAATAGTCACTGCGGGCAAAAGCTCCAATCACACAGTTCCAGGATACAAGGTCAAGTTTTTCAAGAACCGTAGGTAATTTCGGAGTATCATCATATTGCTTGGTTCCATTACAAATTCCAGCAATGACATAACAAGGAACAGCAGCAAGCAGACCATCAGCAGAAGCTGTGAGAAAGACCAGCAGATGAGATATGAGACCATTCTTGGCATATGAGGTTATAAGAGAGTCCAAGACATACTTTTTTTCCTGAAAGCCCATTCTTATAATTAAGCAATGAAGTTGTTGTGCTTCTAATGCCAATGACGACTTAAGAACAGCTGAAAACGTGAACTCAGTTGGTCGGTAACCCAAATGAAGCATTTCTTGCATTAAGAATATAGAAGCAGGCGAATAGATATTAGAGTATCCCCAAATCAAAGCATTCCAGGAAACCACATTTTTCGCATATATCTCATTAAAACAGCGATGGGCATTTTCCAAATTATCACACTTGGTATAAAAGTCAATCAGTGCACTACCTACAAAAACATTAGATTCAAAAGCATTTTGGATTGTCTTAGCATGAAAGGACTCACCATAGCACGGCATCTCCAAATGGTTACAACAGTATATAAGACTAACAAATGTGATCTCACTAGGCAATACTCCATCCATCGACATTTTAGAGAAGAGTTCGAGTGCTTTCCAAGATCTCTCAGTTTTCGCTACTGCACCAATGATAGTGTTCCATGATACAACATCCTGAACAGTAACCTCATCCAAAACCTTCTCAGCCGAGCATATGTCGGTGCATTTCACATACATACTCATAATAGAATTCACCACAAGAACTTCACACTTAAACCCATTCTTTATGGCTAAAGAATGCAGTTGTTCCCCAAATCCCAAGTCTTGTTGGCATGAAAATGATGAAAGAATACCCACAAAAGAACCTTCAGACAAAGTATAACTCTTTCTCACAAGTTCTCGAAATAACACCACACAATAATCAGCAAACCCATGATTCCCAAGCATGGATATCATTGAATTCCATGTGACCAAGCTCTTACAAGGCATATCCTCAAATGCCCAAACCGCTTCCTTTAACAACCCATGCCTTCCGTAAAAACTTAACAAAGAAGTCCCTGCAAAAGCATCAACATCAAACAAACCATTCTTCATTACCAAAGAATGCAACTGAACCCCATGATAAACATCCAATGACCCACATGTCAACAACCCACCAAACACATATTGAGTTAGCTCAAACCCATAACACCTCATCTCAGAAAACATTCGCCAAGCTTCCCTTACGCACCCGCATCTACTGTAAGCACTAATTATGATATTATATGATACAGCATTTCTATCAGGCATTTTGTCAAACCATTGACGTGCAACTGACAATTCGCCAAGTGAAAAATACTGGGACAAGATGTTGTTGTAAACAAAAATGGGTTGGGTTGGAGATGGACCCATTGTGATGGTGAGAGCATGGAGTGGTTTTGTTGCTCTAAGGGACTGAACCCTTGAGCATGCTCGCAGTAGTTGCAGAAGGAGTTTGTGTTGTTGCAGGAAGTCTCCATGGGTGCTTATGCAGTTGGAAATGATCGGCAACGGAGCCACGATTCCAAAATGGAGTGGGTTGATTGAACCTTCAGACACAAAATTTCTTTCCAATTAGTTTCTTTCACACTTCCCAAATTTCTAAAACCTGTCACAGAGACAGAAATGAACTGAGAAAAAACAAAGTATAGTTACTTAGAACTTAGAAGACACAATCTGAACCACAAAACTGACTATAATCAAGGGTTTAAATTTCGATTTTGGTAGCCCAAATGTAGAGAAATATTGAAAGATGGGATAGGATCAAGGGACAAAGATTTTAACAAAGATTTTAAAATTCTTCTCAACCTTTAGATCTAGTTTAATCTAGCGAAACTTAAATTGTTCTCGTTGACATGGCAATGACATGGAAATAAATAAATAAACTAATTTTACTAATTTTATTTTTACCAAAAGAAAACAAAACGAATCGTGTAAAGAGAAAAAACTCAATGCTTCTTCTTCCTTTTCTTCTTTCAATCTCCATATTTCTGAAACCCTCTATGCCATGGATTATATTTGATTAATATATATATATATATGCAATGAAACCAATAGATTTTTCTTAAAAAAACATAAGAGTAGAATTTAATTATAAAAGTGCTTATGCTTTTAACTCTTGATTTGTAAGAGCATGGTCCAAAAATTATCACTTTTATTTTTTTTGGTCAAATTGTCATGAAGACACACCAAATTTTGTTGTTCTGGGAAATCATGAAATCAATGGAGGTCTTCATCCTTCCCTCCCACGTTTTTGCAGATTTTATTTATTTATATTTATTTATATTCCATGTCATCATTCTTGTCATTTATTGATTAAAATCCTCCATATCACTTTTAATTAGGACCAATGGACGCTACAGAATCTAAAGGTTAAAAAAAAGTGTAAAAATATTTGTCAAAATCTTTGTCCCTTGATCCTATCCCTTGAAAGATATATCGATATAGGTGGAAATATCAGTAAACAAACAAAATAATAGAAACTAGCAATAAAAGCATACAAACTATGTTTGAAATACAGATAGCAACTTTCCGGTTCCTAAAACTGACGGCATATACTGGAATGTATTTCCAAGAACCCAGTTTGACTCTGCATATAATTTCTCATAAAGTATGGTTAGATGAACAAATTCGTTATTGCTTTCTTCTTGATTTTCCCTTCCAAATTTCACTTTTTCTGCCTAGAAGTTATGAAGGTTCTATTCATCCTTGAAATTTCAGCAGAGTCTATTTTGTTTGCGTGACTTTCCAAAATAGTTGATAACCTCTTAACACTTCTAGTATTAACTTCTACATCTTCAACCACATTCTCAAGAACAACATACTTACGAAATTTCACATTGGACAAAACTGCAAGCTCAGTGTGATAGTTCCTCTAATTCACTGATGAATTATACATTCAAATTGCCCAATCTACCAACAGAATTCAGACATGATAGATATCAATTGGAATACAAAACCAAATGCCCAATCAAATTAAATCAAGAATTACCATTCACAATTTCCTATCCACAGAAAAAGCAAATCCATAAATAGATACCTAAATCAGTTTAAATCCATTCAATGAACCCTAAATTAGTAACATATTAATTCTAATAACCCTAATTCCTACATCCCAAAATGAAAATTTGAAAACAATCATAGAAATTAAATAATAAGAAGAGTAGAAGAAGAAGAAACGAAGAGGAAGAAGAAAAATAAAAAAGAAAAAGGAAAATGTCAAATTATTGGCAAGGGAGAAAAGGATTCGACTTACAGTTAGGGAATGGAGGAGGAAGACGACTAAAGGATTCGACTTACAGTTAGGGAATGGCGGAGAAAGGACCCTAAATTAGTAACATTTTCCGCCGTACGGTTTCGAATTTTTTATGGTTATTTTTAGGGGCTTTTAGATCCAAGTCCAAAAATGTAGAGTGTTTTTAGGAGTGAGTCCAGTTATCTAATTATATGTTTTTATTTCTTTTACACTCATTTTATATTTTCTAAAAATATTAAAAATCAATTAAAATCTTCTAATATTATGCATTTTCCAACTCCAAAAGAATATATTTAATATCTTATAACAAAAAAACTAATATACTAACATAAATTTATCTACAAAACATTCTACCCTAACTCAAGTAACAAATATATGAATGTATATAATACCTATACGTGAGATATGAAACCTAATTAAAATGTAGAAAAAACATAACATACCTACAAGTAAGACACATTAATCTGTGACAGGTTGATTATAAAAAAAGAATCTGTCATATAGGTAGATAAATATAATTAACATGTGATATAGGTTGATTATAAAAATTAAAAATAAAATCTATAAATGGGGTTTAAAGTAGGAGGAAGAACGAGAAATAACAAAAAGATAAATAAAAAGAAATAAGCAAAGAGATAATTGGGAAGAAATTTGATTTTTATAATAAATCTTATCATTGAACAGATAACTATTGATAATTAAATAATTAAATATAACAAATTGGACTTATTTTAATAAACTGGACTATTCCTACTATTGGCTCAAAAAATTGGACTTATATCAAGTTTCTCCTTATTTTTATTTCGATTTTAATCTCACCCTACTGCTAAAAGGAAAGGGATTAGGATCCCTTCCTTGTAATTCAACAAATCAGAAAATTTGAATTATTCAAATTTGATTCAACAGCTACAAATAAAGGCTTACTTTAAAAGTTACAATAATTTTAGTCATTGAATCAAATTTCAATGACCTGGATCCCTAATTTAGTGGATTAGGAAGAAAAAGATCCCTTCCTTACTAAAACTCAAAATTCGTTTTAAGGTAACGCTAGACACCAAATTTTTTAAATCAAATTTGTAAATAAAATAATATGATTATAGATAATTAGATTATTAATTATGGTTAATCTTTCGTGGTTTTCAATATTTGATACATGAAGTTTTTTTCAACCCAAATTCATATATATGTTAATTGATGGTTAAGTCAGCCGTTAACTGATGACGTAACGCACACTTGAACAATGACTAAGCGTTTGTCAATATGGGCCCACGTGGATATTAAAAAAATTTAAAACTTAAAAAACAATTATATATATATATATATATAAACTAAACATAAGTTTGTACCCTTCCCCATTGCCTAAACCCCTTCTTCTTCCTCCGTCCTCGCCGATTTGATCTCCCTCATCTGTCCCTCTCCCCCCTCGTACTCGTCCTTCCCTCACCACCACCTCTCAACCCAACCCATCCCCCTTAGTCCCTCCATACCCAACCCGACCCATCCCTCCCCTAATCCTTCCATACCCAACCCAACCTGACTTGACTCAGGCTCTCTGCAATGTGTTCGAAATCAAGGGGGCCATGGCCTCGCTAAGGAAGATCACGTAGACTAGAGAGGATGTCCGGGCCCGACTCTGCACCTCGCAGTGCATGGTCCTTGAATCTAGTCTGCTATTTCAGTGGCAGAGAGCTTCATTAGTGCGATGTGTTGGGCTAATGGTGATTCTCAGTGGAGAACACGAGGGAGGGCTTTGGGATCCTTTTTTTGTAGTTGCAAATCTCCAGAGGCCTATGGGGTGGTGCTGATTTTCATATCAACTTTGGCGGTTGTCGAAGAGAAGAAGAAAAAGGGGTGGTGCGGGTGGAGGAAAGGGAAGGCCCGTATCCCTAGCTATTATTTATTTGTTTAGTTTTGTTTAATTTTTTAATCTTTTTAGTTTTTTTAATTTGTTAAATTTTTCTTAAATCTTTAACTTTTTTAATATTTACGCGGGCTCATATTGACACATGGTGCTTAGTCATTGTCCACGTGAGCGCTATGTTACCAGTTAACGGTTGTTTTAACGGTTAGCTTAATAGATGTATGAAACTATTCCAAAATTATGACTTGAGGTATGACTCTAGTATAAAAAAACTTCATGTACCAAATGTTAGAAATCACGAAACTTCACGATAGTAAATTGAGATTAACCCTATTAATTAAGTGTCAATTAACGTGCTTATAAATTATTTGGTGACACATTATTTAGTTTACAATTTAGTTTAAAAATTTTGATCTCCTTAACATGAAAGCGTATTATAGGACATTGGTATTTTTATTCAAACAATTATCTCAACTATTATGGTATAGTGATATTCTTTTTCACTTGTAAGTGAGAGGTATTAGGTTTGATTCTCTCGCCAAAGAGAATTTGAACTACATTATTGTGTGACAACCTGTCCCTAATTTTACATTTTTATTAATTTTAAAAGCGTGAATTTACGAAAATGACCTAGAGGCAAGGACTTTGACTTCCGTTGACCATCGGTTTGAGAGATGTGGGACTTATTCTTTTAGCGTATCCTTGTAGTACTCATTGGTATGAATGCATAGGCGAAAGCCGTTTGCGAGTCCAAATTATAGCGGTATAGTTACAGACGTTTGAAATTTATTATTTAAAGTTAGTTAAATAATTTGAGCTCCCATTTTGTGGGAAGGAAGTCAATCGGTTTTTAAGGAAGAAAAGGGACCAATCAAATAAAAGAAGGGTTGACCAATCAGAAAGGAAAAAAGAAGAGAGAGAAAAAAAAAAAAAAAAAAAAAAAAGGTGGGGGGGGGGGGGTGGAAAGCCCAGCTTTCCCGTCTAAACACCCGCTCGCCACCCAAGCTAAATTCCGGCTATTTTTTCCATTTGTTCCGTCGAATCATCACCATACAACACCTGCAACCTCTTCCACAACCTTCGTGGGTTTTTAAGTCCAAAATCACCAAGAATAGTGCCGGAGCACCGGAGAAGTTCGAAGTCGATTTCACCGTTCCATTGAGTTTCATTACCCACTATCACCCTCAATCAACTCCCCTTGGACCCAGGAATAAGACCTAACCAATTGTAGGGGCGTTGGGACACCGAGGAATGAGAATCGAAGCTCACCCATTATAGGGTTTCAGACGGATTTAGGGGAATTTGAGGTGTTTCTCAGCCAAATTGGCCTTGGCCACAGGTATGAAAGTTGTTCCTCTCATTGAGATCTTCATTTCTATGAAATTTGAGAATTTTTGGAGATAGTTGAATTTTTCTGGCGAATCGTGGCGGCCAGCCACCACCCGCGGTGGCGTGTGGGCCGAGACCCCACATGACCATCTTAGGCTAATTTTGACGACCCGATTCCATATTTGTCATTCGCTTAGTGAAATTTTAATGTTTTAATGAAAATTCGTAGTTGATCACCTAGTTGGCCACCACGAGGTCCTTGCATGAATTGACGATCTGACCGTTGGATCGTCATCAAACTTTAATACATTATGGTATGTAATATTTGAGGATATTAGAAACCTACGGATTGGGAATCTGACGTACAGATCTTCCTGAATTAGATTTGTAAGTTCGTAAAATAAAACGTTGACCGCCACTTGAATTGGCAATTGGCGGAGATCCAACCGTTGGATCAGAATGAAACTTTAGTATGATTTTTTAGAAGCACGATCTGGATCTTTGGAAGTTATGGATCGGAAATCCGAGATGCGGATCTTTCGGATTGAGTTACGTAGGGTTGTGGACCTTACCGTTGATCTTTGACCGACGGTTAACTTTTGGTCAATAGATCTCAAATCATTCTAGAACGTCCTTGGGATGTGTTTTATGTAAACTATGGGTTCTATAGATAAGAGTTCTAAGACGTGACTGAATAATTGTTCTAGGTGAGGATCGCTCGTGACGTCTTGATATTCGTGCTTGGGAAGATTGATGTCTCCACAAACGTTTATAAATTGAATATTTCATATAATTATTATGAATGCTTTGGAGGACTAGTACGAACTACGAATGACTTGATCCCTATTTAGGGTACGTATGCAGTCTAACGAGACGTTAGATGCAGCCATATAATAATTGAGACTAAATAATTGAGACAATAGCATTGTTTGGGGAATTGAGCAATGTGAGGGACATTAGTGGAAAATGTGAGATTTAACCTTATGATTTGGTGGTTAAATGTTGGTCATAAATCAATGTGTGAAGAATCAAGAAATTAAGGTAAGGAAACGTAAGTAATGATAGTTAATTAAATTAGTGTCTAGTTGAGCTTATCACCGACAATTATTCCTAAAAATAAATAGTTTGAAAGTGGGGCGTTATAGATTATGCATTTCACGCCATATTGTATATATATATATATATATATATATATATATATATATATATATATATATATTTGGAAACACTATGTTATGGTTGAGTATTAGATTGCATCATGGTATATCTCTATGTATATTATCTGCACATAATTATTGTGAATGCTTTGAAGTGCAAAGGTGAACGCAGGACACACAGGTAAGTTCAGGTGAGTTTATAGTATTAGTTGAAATGATGGAGTTATGGCATGACTACATTTATGTTTTAGGCAACTCCGACCTTGTCGTACAGGTTGCCCATGAGTCGTACATGTTATATTAGATGCAGTTAGAGCTCATAAACCTCCCGGTGTTAGTGCTCCCGCCCGTGGCCAAGGCACAATCTTTCACGTGATGTTCACTTCTCACACCTTACGCTCACCTTGGATCCAAGGTAGGTGCACAGTCCTGTTATACAGACCACAATAAGTGGTTCCGACTCATAGGTGACCAGTGATTATTCGCGTAGTCTTCACATAATCGTAGCACTTGAGCGTATTTATTTACACCTAGTCCTATCGTACATACCACTTTAGGTGATTCCAACTCGTGTGTAGGTATACTTATTGAGTTATTGGCTAGCATATTTAAGAGCTATTGACTAGCATGTTGATGAGTTATTGGCTAGCGATGAGCTATTGGCTAACATGTCATTGAGCTATTGACTAGCATTGATTGATGAGATATGGATAAGTTGTAACGGTCATTATAGGTGACTCCGACTTATATGCTAGCTTTGATTGA